GGGGCGCGTCGCTCGCGCTCGCTTCTGTAATTTTGGCGCTGGGAGCTGGCCCGTTGCTTCCCGAAACAATTTTCCGGGCGACGGCCGAAGCTTCCGCGACAGCTATGGCAAACCCGCGCCGTCGCTCGCGCGCGCTCCGTTGTTCTGGCGCTGGGGGCTGGCCCGTCGGGCTTCCCGAAACAATTTTCCGGGCGACGGCCAAAGATTCTGCGACAGCCTCCCTCGCGCTCGCTTCCGTCGTTTTGGCGCTGGGGGGTGGCCGGACGGGCTTCCCGAAACAAGTTTCCGAGCGACGCAAGGCGGAGGGATCTTGGACGGCCAGTGGTCGCAATGGCCGTTTTATCAACCAGAAGCGGACAAATGGCCGATTTCATATTGCCCCGTATAAGGAGTTTATCAGCGGCCAAGCCGAGCCATTTTTAGCAAGGGCTTGCAGAATGGCAACTTTATCAAGGCCGGCCAGCCGCAGTGGCCGTTTTATCAAAGCCGATGGCAGTTTATCAAGGCCGGCCAGCCTATGGCCGTTTTATCAACAAAACGCCAGTGGCCGCAATGGCCGTTTTATGAGTCAGAAGCGGGCGAATGGCCAGTTGGGCTGCGGATGGCCGATTTCATATTGTCCCGCACAAGCAGTTTATCCCGTTGGGCTTCCCGAAACAACTTTCCGGGCGACGGCCGAAGCTTCCGCGACAGCCATGGCACGCGCCGTCGCTCGCGCACGGTCCGTTATTTTAGTGCTGGGGGCTGGCCCGTCGGGCTTCCCGAAACAATTTTCCGGGCGACGGCCAAAGCTTCTGCGAGCCTCCCTCGCGCTCGCTTCCGTCGTTTTGGCGCTGGGGGGTGGCCGGACGGGCGTCCCGCAACAAGTTTCCGGGCGATGCAAAGCGGGCCCGGGGGGGGTCTTGGACGTCGCGTGCCATTCTCGTGACGCGAAGAATCATCGAAGGTTTGGGCTTGGGTCTGGCCCGTCGGGCTGCCCGAAAGCTCGTTCCCGTCGTTTTGACGCTGGGGTCGGGCCCGTCGGGCCCGTCGGGCTTCCCGAGAAAACTTTCTGGGCGACGGTTGAAGCTTCCGCGACAGCCTCGGAGGGGCGCGTCGCTCGCGCTCGCTTCCGTAAGTTTGGCGCTGGGAGCTGGCCCGTTGCTTCCCGAAACAACTTTCCGGGCGACGGCCGAAGCTTCCGCGACAGCCATGGCAAACCCGCGCCGTCGCTCGCGCGCGGTCCGTTATTCTGGCGCTGGGGGCCAGCCCGTCGGGCTTCCCGAAACAATTTTCCGGGTGACGGCCAAAGCTTCTGCGACAGCCTCCCTCGCGCGCGCTTCCGTCGTTTTGGCGCTGGGGGGTGGCCGGACAGGCGTCCCGAAACAAGTTTCCGAGCGACGCAAAGCGGAGGGATCTTGGACGGCCAGTGGCCGCAATGGCCGTTTTTTCAACCAGAAGCGGACAAATTGCCAGATCTCTAGATTCGGGCTGCGGATGGCCGATTTCATATTGTCCCGTATAAGGAGTTTATCCGCGGCCAAGCCGAGCCATTTTTACCAAGGGCTGGCAGAATTGCAACTTTATCAGCCGCAGTGGCCGTTTTTTCAAAGCCGATGGCAGTTTTATCACGGCCGGCCAGCCTATGGCTGTTTTATCAACAAAACGCTTGCCCGCACTGGCCGTTTTATCAACCAGAAGCGGGCAAATGGCCCGTTGGGCTAAGAGCTGGCAAACCGAGTGGCCGCTTTATCAGACCGGAGCCGCAGCGGCCGCTGTATCAAAGCTAGCTTCTTCGAAAGCTTCTTAAAGCTCCTGACAAAGCTTCTTCTAAATTTTCTTATAAAGCTCCTTGTACTTTTGCTTCTTGTGCAGCTCCCTAGAAAGCTCCTTATAAAGCTTCTAACATAGCTTCTTATAAAGCTTCTTATACAGCTTCTAAAGCTTCTTACAAAGCTTCTTATGAAGCTTCTTATTCTTATAAAGCTTCTTTTCAAGCTTCTTACAAAGCTTCTTCTAAAGCTTCTTATAAAGCTTCTTCTAAAGCTTCGTATAAGGAGCCTTGATAAAGTTCATAAGGAGGACGCTGCGACTCGTTGAAGGTTTGGGGTTACTCATTCTAAGGCCAGCTGGCGCTGGCAGCGGGAGCGACAGCTCCAAACCGCGCTCGTTGCAGAGGAACGCAACTCGGGGCGCTTCCGCTCGCCATGCCGGACTCGCTCTGCGCCAGCACCAATGCAGCTGCTTCGGCCGAGCGCTTGCGGTACGGCGCTCGGCCTTGAGTTTAGGGTTTAGGGTTTAGGGTTTAGGGTTTAGGGTTTAGGGTTTAGGGCGTTGCCGCGAGCTCGGTCGACATTCACGCGCGGGGGCTTCGCCGCCTCCCACGCAGCCAGGGCTGCAGTAGGGTTGGCGGCGGACTCCAGACGCGACGGCCCAATCATTTGTTTGGCAGCGCTCGGCCAATAGATTGGCGCGAGCTTTTTTTTCCCCTCCCTCCGCGGCGAGCGCGGGAAACCACCCACAACATTTCCTTTTAGGGTTTTGTGCTAAATTCCCACTTCACGAACGCGCGCGCCGAGCGGCAGCGCCGGAGTCGCTCGCTCCCAGACCCGCCGAGGGTTGAAGAGGAGGCGAGGCGAGCGAAGCGAAGACGAGCGGGGGGGAAACGGGGGTCGGCGCCGGCTCTCCGCGCAGCGTCTAAGAAAGGGGCCGGGCTCAGCCCGCGGCGGGCGGAAGAAAGCGCGGGGCGAGCGACGGGAAGGCGAGCGCTGCCCGCGGGGGGCGAGGAGACAGAAAGCGAATCAGAGCCGAGCGAAGCTGGCAGGGAAGGGCGCAACCCTAAGAGCCCCGCGGTCGTCGCCGAGGATCGGGAAGGGCCCCCGCCTGGGTAAACAAAAACCCCGAGACCGAGGAAGCGACGGCCGCGCCCAGGCGGAGGGGAGCAACGACTCCCGGGCATAAGGGCCGACTTTCAAGGGACTGTTCGTGTTTTTTTGCCCCTTAGCGCGGCGATCCCACGCAAAACCTGCGCTAGTTGGAGAAACCCAAGTATGTCTCACCTCTTTCGGGAAAACCTAGCAGGAGAACGCAATGCAGAAAACTTTTTTCGGGAAGCCAGGTTTCGCGGGGAGATCGCCAGTAGCCCGCGCGCCGCGTAGAGAAGCGCGACTCGCGCAGAGCGACTTGCGCAGAGCGGCTCAGGCAGAGCAACTTGTGCAGAGCAGCTCGGACAGAACAACTTGCGCAGAGCAACTCGCGCAGAGCGGCTCCGGCAGAGCAGCTTGCGCAGAGCAATTTGCGCAGAGCAACTTGGGCAGAGCAACTCGCGCGGAGCGGCTTGGGCAGAGCAACTTGCGCAGAGCAGCCTGCGCGGCGAAACTCGCGCCTCGCGACTCGCGTAGAGCAACTCGCGCGGAGCGCAGAGCCGTCGGAAACGCGAGCCTTCCCCGCCCGAGGCCGGAGCGCCGCAGGGCGACGCAGCGAAGCCTGCGAGACCCGAAGAAGCCCCGGACGGGCGAAAAAAAGAGCGGCCTACGCGCGACACGGCGCGCGGCGGAGGGCAGAGACGGCAGGGAGGGAAGGGGGGCGGGCAGCGCCGGGGGCGCCGTTTCCGGGGGCCGAGCCGACCGTCCGCGGCGCGAGCCTCAAGCCCCGAACCTCCTTGCTCTCCCTGCTCTCCCCCGCGCAAGCCATGGCGCGCCCGTGCGAGAAGGAGGTTGGGTGCGTCTGCCGCCCATGCGCGCGCACGGTGACCCCCGCCAAGTGGGAGGCCCGCCAAGCGCTCGCGCGGCGCGCGGCGAGCGGCGCCTCTTCCGCCCCCGCAAGAAGGCCGCGGCAGCCGCGTGGGCGGCGGGGGAGGCGCGCGGCGCCCAGCGACCGCGGACGGAACGCGCGCCCGCGCATGCGCGCGCGCGAGGCGGAAATGAAGGCGGCCGTGGCGGCGCGGCTTGACCGGGAAGTGTGGGCCTTGGGCCCGCACTTACTGGCGCTGCAAGAGTGGACGGACGCCCTGGTGAACGAGGCGGCCCGCGCGCGCGGGAGGATGGGGGGCGCGACGCGAGCCCCGTGCGAGGAGACGGCTGTGGCAGAGCTGACGGCGGCAGCGCGGGAAGAGGCTCGCCTCGACCCGCCGTTGCCGCTGCAGGGCTCCGCGGAGGAGCGCCGGGCGATGTACGAGATCCGCGCGCTGGAGAAGGCGCCGCGCGGGCCTCGTCGCCGGCGCCGTGCCGCGCGCGCCGCGCAGGAGGAAGTCCGCCGCAAGGAGGAGGCGGCCAACAAACGGAAGAGCACCACGCAGAAGAAGAGGGCCGAGAACAGGGTGGCGCGAGACGCGCGAAAGGCCGAGAGGCGCGAGACGACGCGTCGCGCGCGGGAGGGAAGACGGACGCGCGCCGACAGGAAGGCGGCGAAGAAGGCGGTCCGCCGCGCAAAGAGACAGGCAGGGCCGAGCATGGGAAGGGCGCAAGGAGGGCTCCACTGAGCCGCCGGCGCAGGCGGCGCAGAAGAAGAAAGCCGCCTGGAACGCGAAGAGCGAAGCTAAGCGCGCAGCGCGCTTGGCTGACCTCCGAGCAATAGAGGCAGAAAGAGAGCGAAGAAGCGACGAACGAACCCGCAGGCCCCGCCGGAGCTGGCGGCCCACCGGGAGTACAAGACCCACACGCGCGCGAACGCGCGCGCGGTAAAAAAAGGCCGGGGAGCTGCCCGAGGGACGGGGCGGGGCGACGGCCCGCGACGCAGGGCTGCTCCCGCCCTACCCAAGGGTCAAGGCGCGCGGGCGCGACAGGACGGAGACCGTGGTCGCGCCGTCGCTCGGCCAGGTGCCGCAGCCGGCAGAGGTGGAGGCCCTCTTCCAGGCTCGCGCGGGCCGGGCCGGGCGCCGGTGCCTCGGCGCGCCGCAGGTGCCAGAGCAGCCCACCAGGCGGGTCCGCGGCAAACAGCCGGCGCCGAAGAAGGTGACGCTGGCGCAGATGAAGGCGCGCAGAGGCGCCGACGAAGAGTGACCGCGACGGAAACGCGTGGCGGCGAGGCCAAGGAGACCGCGCCGCTGCCTCCGCCGGACCAGCCCGCGGAGCCGGCAGAGGCGAGGCGCGCGCGAGAGCCAAGCCCGCGATCGCGCGTGCGGAGGTCTGGCTGCCTTCCACGGCCCCGCCGGCGCCGCGCCTGCGCCCGCAGGCTGCCCCGGAGGCGCCCGGCCCAGCCGACCTTCCGCCTCGAGCAAGAGGTGCGCGCGGGCAGCGGACGGGAGCCCACACCCACCGCGGCGCGATCCCGGAAGGCCCATCCGGCCGCCTGCTGCGCGCGCTGGGAGTCCAGTGGCTGACTCGCACCGCGGCGCTGGGGCGCCTGTCGCCCGCGGCGGCCTGGGCCATCCACGTGCTGCTCGGCCACGCGCTCGCCCCGGGCGAGCAGGTTCGAGGAGTCGGCTTCCTGCGGGGCTGGGCGCGCCGCAACATCGCTTTCAACGTCTGGGCTCCGCGGTGGCTGTGGCGCCTGCTGTTCTACATCGAGGCCGTTTGAAAACTCACCTATTGAGCTGTCGTAGGCCCGACCGCGCCGCGGAAGCGGCGCAGGCCGGCGTTGTTTTTAACCGCGGATTGCGCGGGCAGAGAGAAAACGAAAGCGAGCGCGCCTTGCTTTCCCTGCCCCCTAAAAAAAAAGGATCCAGTCGAGGCCGAGACTTGCCTGAAGGATCAACGCGCGAGGACCGCAGGCATCCAAAGCGAGCGCGACCCCCCTCTCAGACCGCTCTCAGTTCTCATCGCAGCCATGGCCGCATGGGGCTACTCCGGGTGGGCGCAGAACAAGGGCCACGGGAAGAAGGGCAAAGGCAAGGGCAAGGCCAAGGGCTGGGGCGAGGCCAAGGGCTGGGGCGACATGTGGGGCGCGGCGGACTGCCGAGGCGGAGGAGACAGGGAGCGCCGGCCGGATCTGGGCGCGCTACCAGTACAACAAAGCGATCCTGCGTGCCTCCGCCGGCCCAAAAGGGAGCCTCTGCCCGGCCACCATGAAGAAGCACCTGACCCGGGACAACTTGCATCTGCTGCGACGGCCCGGGGTCGGCCTATCTGAAGGCGCGGGCAGCGTCCTGGCTGGCCTGGAGGCGCTCGAGGCCCTCGACGAGTCCAACATTGCGAAGGAGCTGCTGGAGCTGACGGGCGAGGGCGGGGAGGCGCTCCAGCAGGCCCTGGCGACCTTGAACACCGAGAAAAAGCACGCCCGCGACGCGGCCGAGGCCAAGGCCTTCAAGGAGCTTGCGGAGTTTGTGGCGGCCCAAGGCGGAAGGCTGACCAACAGCCTGATCAAGGCCACCGTGGCCGCCAGCCGCATCTACCTCATGGGCGCCTCGCTCCTGCAGATCACCACCGCGCTGCAGTGCCCGGCCTGGTGGGCCGACGCAGTGCCCGAGGACGCCTCGGAGGGCCGCGCGGTCCGGCGCTGGAGAGCCGACCCCAAGAACGTGGATAAGATGGCGGTCGCGGTTGGCGCGCTCTACGAGGAGAAGGGCGAGCGGGAAGCGCGCGGCGGCAGCGACAACTCCGCCGCCGGCATCTTCAAGCGGAGCGCGCCGCGGCGGCGCGAGGAGGAGGAGGAGGACGAGGACGACGAGCAGGACGCGGCGCCGGCCAAGAAGAAGAAGCGCCGAGCAGCGCCCCCCAGCGCATCGGAGGAGTCCCCCCTCAAGGACACCCGCACGAAGGCGAGGGCCGGCAAATCCCCGGAGGTCGACAAGAAGAAGGCCCGCAAGGACAAGAAGGAGAAGCCGCCAAAGCGCCGACAGCGCGAGGTCTCCGAGGAGGAGGACGACCGCAAGGCGGCCGCCTTCGCCGCTTGGCCGTTGGGGGAGGCGCAGGTCCTCCTGGCGGCGGCGGAGCGGAAAGCCATGGAGACCGGCAACGCGCCGCAGTCCAAGGCGCCGGCAGAGGAGATCAAAGCGCTCCTGTCGCAGCTGCCCGCGGGACTGGAGCCGTGGAAGCCGTCGCTGCCGGAGGCGGACACGGAGGGCAACATAGCGGGGCCCGCGGCGAAGAAGGCCTGCCAACACCTGGCAGCCCTGGCATCTGAGGCGGAGTCGTTCCTGCTCGCGCAAGGACAAGAAGCGGGGGGCAGCGCCAGGGACAAGCGAGAGAACTGACGAGCCGGGCAACTGAGACAGAGCCGGCTCAGCAGAGAGCCCGGGCCGCCCCAGCAGAACAGCGGAGGCGCCGGGATCAGCGCGCGACACGGAAAAAAGGGGTTCGGGAGCGGAAAGGGAGGGGCAGAGAGACGCAGGGGAAGAGGGCGAAGACTGCCAGCTCTCAAGAAAGACGGAGACGCGTTTGTTTGGACAGTTCGAAAACGGTTTGGCCTCCTTGGAAGAACGCGCGAGTGAGCCTTGGCTCAAAGCCGAAGAAAGCTAGAGATCGCTCGCGAGCCCGGCAATGGCAGGAACGCGCTTGCTGGCCCTGCTCGCGAGCCCGCCGCTGCCGGCCTGCCCCGCCGCGCACATCTGCGGCTACCTCACTGCGGCCGAACGGGCGCGCGCGCAAGAGGCGGGGCGCAGCGAACAGCCCGTCGGCGCCCGCAGCGCCCTAGCGCGGGCGGCGGCGGAGACCGCGGAGAAGCTTCAGACGGCCCTGGACCGCGCCGGTCTCGCGGAGGCGCAGTGGCCAGGTCTGCTGGAGGCCGCCGGCATCGAGGACAGTGCCGTGGCGGCCCCGGGGACCACGGACTTCTACGCGCGCGCGGAGGTCCGCTGGGGCCTGCGCCCGGCGGACGCCCTTCCGAAGCACATGCTCGCGGACCACTTGACCGAGTTCTGCGGCACCACAGACTGGCGGGCGGCGTTCGAGGCGGCGCAGGAGGCGGAGGCGGTGGGGCCGTTGACGGAGCTCCTTGCGATCCTGCGCGAAGCGGCCTGGGTCTCCCCGAAGGTCTACAGCGAACACCTGAACCTGGAGGAGTACGACGGCCAGGAGTTCGGGCTGGCGGTCCACTTTGCCTGGCGGGGCCACGAAGCCGCCTTCTTCGTGCCGGAGATCCTGGTGGACCCCGCCGGCTTCGGAAGTGTTTGAAAAGCCCGAGGCTGCCGAGAGGGGCGCGCGGCGAAAGAACGGGCAGGAGCGAAGAAGAAAGAGTGCGAAAATGAAAAAGCTGGCAGAGAGAGAGAGAGAGAGAGAGAGAGAGAGAGAGAGAGAGAGAGAGAGAGAGCAAGAGGGGTGAACGCCGCTGTAGTCGCTAATTGCCCAAGCAAAAAAAAACGATAGACTGACTCCCCTGAAACCGCAGCAGCCATGGCCGACCGCCGCTGCCCGCCCGAGCTGCTCGACTTGGAGAAGCGCGGGGCCCAGCCCGCGGGCGACGCAGACGAGGCCTACTTCCTCTGGCGGCGCGCGGAGGTCGCCCAGTACTACCAGCGGCTGGGAGGCTCGCGAGCGGCGGAAGACGGCGGGGCGCCGGACTTCGGCGACCCGCGCCTGGCTGGAAGAAGCTCTGGAGGAAGACGAGGCCCCCGTGTCGGCGGACGTCCTGAACCTGCTGGCGGAGGAGATGGGCTACTGGCTCAGCCCGAGCTGCTGGCGCGAGGAGACGGCAGTCGGCGGCTACGACGTCGCCGCCCCTGAGCCAGACTCAGAGGTCCAGCGGGTGCTCCTCGAGGCGGCCGAGGACGAAGCCAGCCAAGCAGAGGCCCGCCACGCCCCGGCCATCTTGCGGGAGCCGCTGCCCGGAGTCGAGACGGAGGAGGAAGAGGCGGCCCCGCGCCGGCGCCTGCGCCGGAAGCAGCCCCCGCCGCCGGCCTGGCAAGACATCGCGCCGGCCGCGCCAGCGGCCGCCGAGGCAGAAGTGCTCCACAAGAAGCCCGCGGCCAGGCAGACGCGGCCAAACGAAAACTGCCCCGGCCAGGACGCCGGAAGCCCCTGCGTCTTTGCCTCGCGCGGCGACCGGCTCGGGCAAGCCGCCCGCGTCAGTGAAGGCGCCGCGCGCTGCCTCTTCTGCTCGCCGGACAAGTTGGCCGCAGCGCAAGCATGGGCGGAGGCGGGCCGGCAGGACCTCCAAGAGCAGGCCTTGAGTCGCCTGCCGCCCGCTGAGCGCCCGGCCTTCGAGAAGGCGCTGGCACGCCCATCCCGGGCCGCCGCGGCAGTCGCCGCCCGGCAAGAGGCCGCATCCTGGGACCAGCTGCTGAAGACGCGGACAAGCTTCCAGCCGCCCCCCGGAGAGGGAGACCTCGCGCGAGCTGAGGCGGACAACGCCAGCGACGCCCGGCGCCTGCGGAACAAGTTCGGCCCGGCACTGGCGGCGCGGGCGGCAGAAGAGGCTGCGGAGCAGGCCGACGAGGCGCCGTGGCGGTCGGTGGTTGCCCGAAAGTTTGAGGCCTGGTGCCAGGAAGGGGCCTGGGCGATATGCGAGCAATGCCGTCGGCTGCAGAAGCGGCCGCTGCGGGAGAACGACCTGTCGGGCAAGCGTCAGCGCAAGCACACGACCAAGAAGTGCGGACACTGCAAGGACGGCGTTGGCTATCCGGCCGTCAGCCCCAACCTGATCCCTGCGGAGCTCCGCAGCCTGAGCCCCGACGTCCTGTGGGCGCTGCGGCCCCTGGAGCCTTGCCCCGGACCAATCGCAAGGGCCAGCCACGGCTACCGCGTTCACACGGACATGACGCGCTTCTGGTGGCGCCCGCAAGCCGTGGAGGACCAGCTTGCGGAACTGGAGGACGAGGCGGACCTCCAGGCGGGCAGCGACGCCTACGGCTACCTCACGAACTCCGGCGCCAGCTCCTACCAGAAGTTTGTGGACATGCACAAAAAGTTCCTCCGGCGGAACCGCGCCACCTTGACGGGCGACCCCTGGGACCAGCAGCTGCAGCTGCCGCGCCGGGCGCTAGAGGAGGAGGGCATCGAGTGCGCGGCGTGGCCCCAGCTGTACCCCGCCACGGCCATGTGCGAAACGCACATACGTCTGGCGGACGCCCGTCGGCAGGAGCGGCGACGACCCAGGGCGGCGGACGGCGAAGAGAGCGAGGAAGAGCTGGAAGGCAGCGGCGGCGAGGCGGAGGCGGACCCGGCCGAGGCGGAGGCGCCGCTGGACTTCGCGCGCTCCAACCGCAACACTGCCAAGAGCTCCTACCTGGCCAAGGTCCTCAGCCCGGTCCTTGGCTACGGCGCGGACTACGAGCTGTTCCAGTTCGTGTACGACCTGTGGCTTTGGAGCAGCCTCGGCGCCAAGAAGAACGCCGTCCAGGCGCCGCTGCGGCTGGCGTGGCGGGCTACGCGTTCTCGCCGGAGTACTGGCAGACCCGGCACGCCGCCCTGGTCGACGTCGTCAAGCAGCTCGGCCTGCCCACCTTGTTCATCACGGTCGCGCCCTACGAGTGGAGCTTCCCGGCCAACGCCTGGGTGGAGGACGAGGCGTGCAAGCTTCTCCGAGCCAAGCTCCGCCTGCCCGTGGCCGAGAGCTTGCGCCTCGCGCATGTCCTGGCGGAGCTGGCGCAAGGCCTCCTGACAGGCGCGCAGCGTGGGCAAAGGCCAGGCCTGGAAGTCGCACATCTTCAGCGCCAAGGACGGCTCCGGCGGACGGACGGTCCTCAACTTCTTCGGCCGCTTGGAATACCAGGACGGCAAGCGCAAGCGCTACGTCAACGAGCAGGAGGCGGCCACGCAGTTCTACCACGGCCGAGGCACGGTCCACTTGCACATGCTCGTCTGGCTCCGTCACGTCGAGGCCGTCAAGCTGGAGGAGGCCGTCTCGGCGTCAACGCCGGAGGACAACCCAGGCCTGGCCTCGCTGGTCGAGGGCTCGCAGCGGTCCCGGCAGCGGCTGGCCAAGGCGCGACGAGCCGTCACAGTACGACGCCGCCGCGGGCCTGCTGCGGCTCCATCACTCGGCCCAGGACTTCTGCAAGCGCAACAAGAAGGGCGTCTACGAGGGCATCCGCGCCTACCTGCCCGAAGTGCTGGCGAGCCTGTGGTGTCACACGGACGTCCAGCTGTCCGACGGGCGGGGCATGCTCTTGAAGTACTGCTCCGGCTACGTCCCGAAATTTTCAGACAGCTTTACGACGGACTGGCTCAACGACGCCTGCAGCGACTACGCGGTGGCCAGGCGCGTCCTGACCGACTACCACCCGCTCGAGCCCGAGATGACCTTGCAGCTGGCCATGCAATGGTTCCCGCAGGTCTTCGCGGGCAGCACCCTGCAGCGCTTCCGGGTCCCAGTGCCTTGGAAGGCCGACTGCCCGGAGCGCGTCCAGCAGTACATGAACAGCGAGTGGCGCGCGGACGCGATGCCTCTCATCGAGTTCCTCCGAAAGACAAACGGCCAAGGGAAGATCCACAAGAAACTCGAGCGCCGCCGCAAGGAAGAGGTGGCCGCGGACCCCAGCACAACCCACGACCTTGCGGCCTGGCGCCGTGCCAGGGCGAGGTCGCCATAGCCGCGACGTGTCTGTCGCGCTACAACGACGAGTACTACGGGCAGTGGGCCCTACTGAATGTCCCCTTCTGCTCCATGGACGAGCTCAGGCCCGAGGGCTTAGAGAAAGTCCCGGCCCACCTCTACCACCAGGCGATGGTCTACCTGCTGCGGCCGGGCCACTGGACCAGCGCAACCACATCCGGAACATCACAGCCATGCTGTTCGCGAACCAGGGCCTGATCCAGCGCTACCTCGACGGCGAGCTCGACAAAGACGAAGACGAGCCGGCGGCGGAGCCTCGCGCTGGGGCGCCCAAACTGTCGGGGCAGCAGGCGAGGATCGCGGAAGAGATCCTGGAGTCTGTCGGCAAGGGGCTTTGGCAGCGGCAGGCGAGGGAGGACGCCTGGAAAGGGGAGGCCAGGGACGAAGCCGAGGACGACCCGTTCGAAAAGCCCGCCGCCTGGCGGCCCGCCTTCGCGGTCCTCGGCCCAGCCGGCAGCGGCAAGTCCACGGCCGTCCACGAGGCCATCCGGCAGGCCGCCGACCGCGGGGCGCGCGTGCTGCTGACCGCCCCGACCGGGCGACTGGCCGCCACGCTGCGGGAGCGGTTTCCGGGGCTGGAGGTGGACACCGTGCGCGGGGCGTTCCTTGCCTACAAGCCTGTCCACGAGGCGCTGGAGGTCATGTGGCCCTACGACCTGATCGTCGTAGAGGAGGTGGGCCAACTGAGCCGGGAGCTTTTCGAGCGGCTCATCACTCAGTGGCGCGCGGCGGAGCGGATCCCGACCCTGGTGTTTGTCGGCGACTTCCACCAGCTGCCCGGCGTGGAGCCGACGACAGCGCTGGACTCGCCGCAGTGGCATCACGTGCAAGTCCAGAAGCGGCACCTCCACGAGATGATCCGCTGCAAGTGCCCGATCCTCCGGAAGAAGCTGGAGCTGCTGCGGACCGGCAAGCCCTCGCGGCAGCAGCTGAGAGCCATCTTGAAGGGACACAAGGCGCCCTCGCGCGGCCGAGCCGGCTACGTCACGAACGAGATCCCCACGCTGGACGACGTGGCCCACATCCTGGCAGAGACGCCGGAGACGACATTCCTCACCGTCAGCCGCGGCGCCAGCGCCCGCTTGAACGGCCTCGCCACGCAGGCCCTCTTCGGCGACAGCGCTCCGCTCGCCGTTGTGCCGGCCGACCCCGAGAGCAACGTGGACAACTACGTCCGCGGCAAGCTCGTGGCCGAGACGCCGCTCGAGACGCCCCTCTTCGCGGGCGCGCAGGTGGTCCTGACCAAGAACCTCAACAAGACCGTCGGGTTCGTCAACGGCATGGGCGCCACCGTCCTGGGCATGGACAACGACAACGTGATGGTTCGAACGGACCAGGGCGCTCGCCTGGCGATCCACCCGTGGACGTCGGAGAACCACGTGGTCCACTACCCCCTGCGCTTGGGCTACGCGAGCACGTTGCACAAGGCCCAGGGCGCCACGCTGGCCCACATCACCGTGTGGCTGGACATCCCGAACATGCCCGCCGCCGCGTACGTGGCGCTGAGCCGCGTGGAGTTCGACGCGAACTGGCGCTTCCTCGGCGACCCGGGGGTGCACCGCTTCACGCCAGCTCGCTTCCACTGAAGGACCCCAGGAAGGGGGCCGCGGGGCGGGCCAAGAGAGCAAAGTTGCTTGCTAAATGCTGCTTTTCGGCGGAAGGGCGACCCCGGAGGGCTCAGAGTTTAGGGGCGACCCCGGAGGGCTAAAACCCGGGGTTTTAGGGTATTGACCTTCTAGGTAAGAGCAGCTAGCGCGAGGCTCATTTGGGTGGTGTATAATGGGCATAGCCGAGGGTTGCTTCTAAGCAATCATTTGCCCCATTCTCAAGGCGCCTCCCTCTGCAAATACGAGCCTTCGGAATAAAGCCGCCCGGCGGCGCTAGTTGTGAATATACACCACCCTCGAAATGGGTGGGAAACGGTCTAGGCAGAGTTAGACTTAGACCATGCCCATCTTTTTTTTCTTTTTTTTCTTAAATAATGCATAAATAAAAAATTATAAAATCAATGCTTATATATAAAAAAACCTAGGGTCCTCCCCACACTTTTAGCAACATTTTAAAACAGCACCTCAAAAAGCACATTTTCAAAAATCAACATTTTAAAGCAGGTAATTTCCTAGTAAGTTCATCCATATTTTGAAAAATAAATTTTAAAAAATAAATTTTAAAAAATAATTTTTACAAAAAAAAACAAATAAATTTTGAAAAATAAATTTTACAAAATTTTACAAAATAAATTTTCAAAAAATATAAATTTTAAAATAATAATAATATAATTTTACAAAATATAATTTTACAAAATTTTCAAAAATATTATTCCAAAAATTATGATAAATTATTTTACAATAAATTTTATCACAATTTTTGTAGACATATTATGGGCAAGGTCTGGTTCATTCGTTTTTTTTTTATATAATTATTCAAATCTTCTTTCAAACATTTTATATTTATACAATATGTTAAAATCAACTGCATCTAATTTTTCTTTGCTACAAATCCATTTGTTGCCATTCTTTTTTATTTCGATTAACCATTCAAATTCTCTAAAGCTTAAATACCACCAATTGGATGTCTTTTGACTGTATGAATAATTTCCAGCATTTCTAATTATTCGTTGGTTGTTGGTTTGTTCCATATATTTTATCATTGCATGTTTTAATGGGATGTAATTTTTCGTTTCAATATTGTTTATCATTTTATGATGTTCTGTAACTTCCTTTTCTAACCGTTTTTCAGTTACAAATCCGTAACTGTCATCTTCTTCTTCTTCTTCTGTTTTATTATCATTATCACTCAAAAAATAATCAATTATTTTAGTTTCCTGTTGTTCAATAGAAGTTAAGAATTCATTGATAATTTCTTCCTGTTCAACCTCTCTAAATACAACCATTTGTATGATAATATATATAATTAATATTTCTTTAAGTACTTTTTACAAGAAATTAAATTAATAAATTAAAATTAAATTAATAAATTAAAATTAAATTAATAAATTAAAATTAAATTAATAAATTAAAATTAAATTAATAAATTAAAATTAAATTAATAAATTAAAATTAAATTAATAAAATAAAATTATAATTAAAATAGCATAATTAAATTATAATTGCTAAAATTGGATTATCATCATTAAAACTTAAATCCCGTGCAATTTTACAAACAGAACCACTGCCTGAAAATAGTTCTAATAAATTCATATTATTAGAATTATTTATATTTTAATTTTCAACAATTACATATTTACCATCATCGCCCTTAATTATTTTATAATATTCTAATGTTTGTTCTTTTGGACTTTTGATTTGCCCCTTATTTAACATATCGCAATATTTTTTACGCTTCGTGTCATAATCACCGCTGGGTCTGCCTATCCCTTTCTTTTCAAAGATCTTATCAGTCTTTTCCTTCTCTTCATTGTTATTTTTTGGTTCGTTTGCCTTTGCATCAAGTTTCTGGTCAATAGTTTTTATCATCTCGTACAACAGTTTAACATTTTTACTAACTGTCATTATCTTCTTTGATAGTTCAACAATAACATCATTTTCAACTTCAGACATTTCTATATATATTTATTTATATAATTATTTGTTTAAATATTTATTTATTTATAAAATTGATTTAATGTAAAATCTACTCTTTAAGTACTAAATTTTCATCATTTGTTTAATAGTTTCCTGTGCTTCGTTATCACCATTATCGGATGGCGACGCATGCCTCCCCCATTTAAAAGTTATATTATGAACATCCGTTTCCAGATTTATACTGTCTTTGGTTTTATCAATATTCATTTTCTTATCGTTTTTACTCAATTTGAAATTTGTCGGAATACACGAACATTTACAATTTCCTTTCTTTTGTATTTCTATTTCATTTTTCATTTCTAACATCTTTTTACACATAGGACACTCAAACTCGGTTAGTGCTGTTTCCTTAACAATTTCTTCTTCTTTGTCTTCATCTGTTGAAGAAACTGTAGTATCCGGTTTATTCTTTTTGTTTTTCTTTTTTCCCATTTATATTCATATTTACATTTTTATTTTTGATATATTGTATTCCTAATTTTATTAATTCTAATGTATAAAAGCATACTTTCTTACATCTGTTGTCAGTCATTATCACTTGTTCTATATTCTCTACTTCATCTATTATATCAATATAATCTGAATAACTTCTATCCATATTAAATAATAAGATAAATTATTCTAATTAATCTTATTATTTTCATGCATAATAGAATATTGGTGGGGCACAGCACTTGGGTTTTCATTGCACACGCGAGCAAGACACAAAACTAATTATCTTCAATGCTTATTGATTGAAGCAATGGAAAACCTGTTCCATTATGTTATTTACCGCCACTCATAACATAATGATGTTCCATTTAATATTAATTACAAGTTAATTTTTAAATATAATTTTCTATATTTCTTTAATATCAACTATGACAGATGTCCCAATAATAAAACCAATAAACATAACTGAATATGAATTCAAACAATCTAAATATGAGCACGTGCCAAAATTACCATTTAGAAGTATTATAGTTGCGAGTTCGACGGGAGGCAAAACAGTTTTAGTTCAAAATCTTATTTTAAATGTTTATAGAAATTCATTTGCAAGAATATTTATATTTTCCCCCAGCGTTCATAATGACCCAACTTTTACAGAAGTTAAAAAAATATATCAGGGATGAATTGCACGTGGATGATGAAAAAGAACAAATTTATTTTGATAATTATAATCCAAGTGATTTAGAAAATGTAATTGAAAGACAGAAGAAAATAATTAATTATATGAAATCTAAAAAGATAAAGAAACTGCATTCAATATTAATCGTTATAGATGACCACGCAGACGATCCTAAATTTGTTAGATATAGTAAATTATTACATGCATTATTTACAAGAGGTAGGCACGATGCAGTAAGTGTAATTTGTTCAACACAAAAATATAATGTTTTAGCGCCTATCATTCGTTTAAATGCAAGTTCATTATATATTTTTAGGTTGAAAAATGCAAGTGAGTTAATGAGTTTTATTGAAGAAAATAGCGCCATTGTTGATAAACAGCAATTATTAGATATGTATCATCAAGCCGTTAATGACGCACCTTATAGTTTCTTCTACGTGAATATGAATGCTAAGGACATTAACAAAATGTTTCATATCAGATTTGAACAGGCGTTTCAAATTACGAATGATGAATAAAGATATTCTAATTTAATATAATATAATAATATGTAAATGAAACTATGTAGATGTGGTGGATTTTATCGTAGAGGTAATTATAACTTTCATACTAATTCTTGGATACATAAACTTTATAAAGTGTTAAAAAGACGACCAACAGACGAGGAATTATTAAGATTTCAAAATAATTTTGTTGATGAAGAAGATTTAATAGATGATATAAGTAGTACTACTTCAACAACAATACCAGAGGATAAATGACAGATTATGATAGCAATTAATAATATTATTATATGTTAATATTATTAATTTAAATTAACGAAGCATTGCAAAATTGTAAAGCAGGAAGTTTATATATTAATTTGTCAGATTTTTCTTTCTCTAGTTTTTCAATTCGTGTCACACATTCTTGAATAGATTTTATTATTAAAGTATCTGCTCTTGTTTTTTCATCTACTCTTAAAGTCTTAATGTCTTCCATACTGTTATTTGCATCATTTTTACTTTGACCAATACCCATTATATATAATATTATTTAGATTTTTAATTTTTCAAAATTGAAATGTTGGTTTTCTTCTTCTTCTTCTTCGTCTTCAGTTGGTGCTGGTATTTCTGTTGGACTTTCAGATGAAGAACTATGAACAGTAATAGGTGGAGAACTATGAACACTAATAGCTTCATTTGATGAATTGCTACTGCTACTTTGTGCATTTCCTGCTGTTATTTGATTGACTAAATCTGCGATATTTATAGTTGTTGCAATTGCGCTGTGCGATAAGTTTAATATGATATCTGCTACTGTAGCGCCGTTGTGTAGCATTATTTCTATCATTTTTGTCAGTTTGAACTTCTTTTCTTCTTCATCGCTGTCATCCTCATCTGGTGGTTTCTCTGGCGGTGGTTCTGGCGGTTTGTTGTTGTCGAGCATTTTAGTAAAGGCTGACACCATTGTGTCGCGTTGGTTTTTCAGTGTTTGTGTTGCTTGTGTTCTTGTTGGTTCATTTCTCTTGTGTGTGTTGTGCCAAAAGTTTTTAAGCATTATTTTAAACATATTGTCTTGGTTTTCCTTTACCTTAAACGCTTCAAATGTCATATTTAATGGTTGATTTGCATCATTGAATAACTTTTCTTGAGTCTCTCTGGTTTCTGTGGCGATTGTATCTGTATTGGTTGCAATGTCAATAAATTCTCTCGGTATGCCCTTTTTCATCATTTTCGGTGGTTGTATTGTTGTTGGTGTGTTTGGTTTTGTTAGGTTATGTATTGAAAAACTGTCGTCATCATATTTATCATTGAATTTCTGCTTCTTTCTTTTCAGTATGTTTTTAGTTAATATTATCATTATAATTATTTATATATTATTTCTTTCCTTTACCTTTAAAACTTGCCTTGAG